GTTACCATATGTTCGACCCTCTTTACCTGCTTTGTACTCCCACCACCCTCTTCCTCCTCCCCCCAGTCTGCCCCCTCTGGTAAGCACCTGTTTGTTGTCTGTATCTATGAGTTTGTTTTGGTTCATTTTATTAGTCTGTTACTTTTTGTTCTACATTTCACATATGAATAAAAACATACAAGGTTTTGTCTTCTTGCATCTGACTGACTTCATTTATTGTTAATACTATCGTTAATACTCTTAAAGAGTATCAATTAATTTTTAAGCAAAGGTAAAATTTAGCCTGGTCTAAGTCTGAATCATTAAGAAAAAGATAGATTAAGATAGATTTAATTAAAACCAAATCTAGGTACTTCTATGCTGGGAGTACTTTCAGACAGGACTGTTTATTTTGGGAGGTAGGGAAGAGATGGATACTGAAAGGTAGTGCCTATCGATAATAATGAAAAGTTCTATTCCTTGAGATAATAGCTCCTACTTTCCAGATAAAATAAGCACATTTTCAGGAATAGTGCAGCTTTCTGGGCCAGTGGTAGAAGAGGGAAGAGTTGGGAGAGAGGCCTCAGAGTCAAGGTCTCCATTTCACTGTGTGGTGATAGTCACCTATTCACAGCACCTGATGGAGAAAAAAGTCTAAGTAATTTTGGAAATGAATGATTTTACTCTCCTAATCGTGAATATAAGCCCGATACCATTAACCTAGGCAAAAGATCCAAAGTATTGGCTACAGGCCATAAATGTTGCATGAGTACTTAGATTTTATCAATACTATACTTTAACATCCTCTTAAACCAAAATGAGTAGAGAAATAACATGAAAACTAAACACAGTAGTCACAACCACTGGTGCCCCAAAAAGCCACAGAATGAAGGGGTCCTACGAGGGACGAGAGGGCTCTGAGAACCTCACCCCACCCCCACTTCCAATTTTTGACACTGCCATGGGATTCCCCCTCGCCGACTGGTGTCTGAATTGCACGTGTGCCACCTTTTCACCACCCTCCCTTGTACCAGAAAAACACCTTGCAGTTACCATCTCAATAGCAGGGACAACATGAACTGTCTTGAGCCTCCCATACAGTTCAGAGATGGTGCAACGTCACCAGTGAGGTAAGCTGCTGGTACATCACCCCAACCAGAAAAAAGAGTGATCCTTAGTGGAAGAAAATAAGCCATCTTGAGACTTTAACTTATGAATGCTACTAATTGAAATAAACCCCTTTCTAAATTAGGTGAACATATTAAGTTTTTCTAATTTCTAAGCCACACTTTTAAAAAAGTGAGGACTATATGAACTACTTTTTTACTCTGAATGCTAAACTATCATTCAGCATGCTCAAGACAAAGCATGGTTGATATTATAGTTAAACAAAAATTATCTACAGAAGGATTACAATGGTAAAAGCTGAAGACTGACTGAATTTTGTGTGCAAAAATATGGACTTTTTAGAAAAATCTACCTACTACTCAAAAAAGGGTACATTTTGGTGGTTCCTAAGTGTTAGGTCTTAGACTTGCTGTCGCAAATTACCTGGGAAGTATTTTAAAAGATTCCTGTGTCTCACCTCTGAACACTGATCTAATGGGCCTAAAATGGGTCCCAGAACCTGTATTACTCACTCACACTCCTTGTGATTCTGATGCAACCAAGTGTGGAAGTGCCTGAGGGACTTTGCTTCACTCACTGCAGAAATACTGAATATGTGTCATTTATTCAACACAAGATCCATCTGCCAAAACCCTACTGGGCTGATGCTATTAGGAAGCCCCAAGAGGAAGTGCTAAATAAACCACCTTTCATAGTATTTGATTCACTGTTTCAATATTCGAATAACTAGGAATTTTACCAAACACATACTAAATGCTAGGTGGCTTGGAAAACAACAGAAACCTAAACTTGAGGAGTACATGAACACTTGTATACCTGTATGTAACATGTATGTTTAATCTACTGCGGCTTTCTATAGGAAAGCACGGTGTCGTGGCAAGGGTTTTGCTGTGGGTATCAGAAGATAAGGATTTGAGCCTCGGCTGTATTTTTAACTGCCCAATCTTATCTAACCTGTATGACTAGTCTCAACTTTCTCACTGTAGGCAGAGGGTAATGCTTGAATCTAAATTATACATGACTGCCTTCAATCCCCAAATCTCTGTGGTTTCTCCTGGGTGAAGAGAACACATTTCAAAGAAGAAGAAACACAACCCAAGTTGGAACAACCCAACAAGGCAGCAGCAGAAGGAAAGACTTCAGATGGGCTCCAGAAGATGGGACGGCCACTACTGAACTACAGCGAGTGGGCAAGGGGATGCAGGAAGCGGGAGCTACGCAAGCATCTGTGCAGAGGCCGGCCGTGAGGTCAGCTTGCCAGCGAAGAGCCGGTCTGACTGCCGTGGAGAACAGTGTGTGACAACACTGGTACACTCCAAAGTTCTGCCAAATGGTACGGTAAAACAGCAGGGAAATACAAGAGAATTGTGAGCGAGAAGTAATAGGAGAAAAGTGGTGTTTCTGTACAATTATCCTGACACCTTTCTCCAGGGCGGACTGAAAGAAGGAAAGAGTAATCTGTAGACTAGTGTCCCAGAGAACAAAAAAGGGTTTCAAGTGCAGCTTCCAAAAGGTAACTTTGAACACTAGAAAAGAACTGGTGCAAGATGCTGGATAAGAACACAAAACACATCTAACTGAAAATAACAAAAAAGTACAAGAAAGAACAAACAGGCAAAAAAAAAAAAAAATATTATGTAGTTTTGGAAAATGGTCTGCTTTGCCTCTCAGAGAAATCTGGGCCAAACTGAGGATACCAGCTGTTATCTGATATTTTTGAAGGAGCTGAATGGGGCGGTGGGGAAAGAAGTAGCCTGCTGCTTATCCACCACCCCACCCCCATTCCATAAACTCAGAAGAGATGTAGCAGATGCCACAGTGTAAAAGGCACAAGACATTACTGTCCTTTCTTCCTTGTATTCTGCCCAGGCAGCTGGGTCCCGAAGAGAAGACCCACGATGGGCTGTCAGGAAGCAGCTCACATCACGTGGTTTTCTCGTAGGCAACAACAATTCTCTGGCGACCTGTTTGCCCTGCATTTCTGCTTTGTTGTGGACTTTACTGGCAAAAGAACTAACTTAGAACAAAATAACTGACTCACTAAAATAAAATAACAGTGGTTATTTCTGGAATGGAGAAAAGGGTACCACTTGAAATGAGCCATTCCTACCATCTATTCCAGTTTCTGAACCACAACCCAGAACCTCAAAATCATAATAAATTAGCAGCAATCCTGGAAATCAAATTATGTTGGGAAGCCCACGAAAATATGCAATAGGACAGAGAACACACAAAACAACCTGAAGGTAACCATATATTGAAATTTTTTTTAGAGAAGAGCACTTGATTACTAACAGTGCTATTAAAGGGGTCATCTCTGTGATATAAACAAAAAGTATATAGAAAAGTATGAACAATTGGAAAAAGCAGTCCAGATTGGAAAGCCAACATCAAAGCAAACTTAAAGTCTTTATGAGCTTGGACTGTGTTAGAAAGCTATTTTTTCCCCCTTAAATTTTGATAACACATTAACCAGTTCATTTTCTGACCCAAGGGTGAACCTTTTCATACATAGGGCATTTTCTTGATGAAGAAACATGTAGAATCCTTGAACATCTTACATCCAAGTATATTTGGGGGCTACCATGTGTACCTTCCTTTAGATGAATCAGAGCTCGGAGGCATTTTTCCTATGGGCCAATAAATATAAAGAATGAGATGTCAAAACTACCCAGGGCTAACGAAATACCTTAATGGACAATTCTGAGAGAAGCAACTTTTAAGCATAAAGATGACACTGCATTTCTGGATGCCTGAAAAAAATGAGCAGAAATCCTCTAGACAAGTCTCTAAGCAAGACGAATGCCACAGTCAGCCTTGACTAACTTCCCCTCACCACTTCAGGCTATAACCTGAGCAGACTTCTTAAATCAAGGGCGGAAAATAGGTTCTAAGTTGAGCCAATTGATTGAGGTTGTCTGGAACACTATTTTGAAAAATATTTGGGAGCCACATCTAAACCCAGGGAGAAAGATTGCTGTGATTGATTGGCAATGTCTGCACTGGGCAGGAGAGGAAAATTGATGGCACGTGTACTGAGAGTTGGCCAGAGGCAACATCCCTTTTATTTTCTAAAGGAAAAGAAATCTATACTGCAAATTGGATTAACTTCTTATCCAGAGAGAATCTTCGTAAGAACTTCAAAAATGCACAAAAGCAGAAAAATACCCACAAAATTATAACCTGTGTGGCAGATGAGCTCTTCTCGCTCATCTCCTCAAAGCAAGCTGCATCTGCTGGATTTAAGTCAAAGTATAGCCCAAGGACCATATCCAGCTGCCACCTGTTTTTTTGACAACCCATGAGCTAAGAAAGGATTTTTTAAAAATATTTTTAAATGATTGGGATAAAATAAGAAGGCTATTTTGTGACATACAAACATTACATGAAATTCAAGTTTCAGTGTCCATAAATAAAGTTTTACAGGATCACAGCCCCATCTGTTAGTTCATGTAGTGGCTATGGCTGCTTTCAAGCTACAAGAGGAGAGCTAAGAAGTTGTGACAGATGCTGTGTGGCCCGAAAAGTTAACGTATTTACTACCTGACCCTTCGAGAACAGACGTGCCAATGCCTGTACTAGAAGAACTGGCCTAGGGTTTCCTTAAGTCACATGGAGGTAATTTGCTTGAAGGGAAGGAGGTTTAATTCAGTAGGTTTCATACGGGACTTATCTAAAAAAGTTGCTGCTGTCTCTTTGTTAATATAGGAGTGATTACATAGGGTACTCCTAAATAAAGTTTCCCCCTCATGCAACAACAACAACAAAATTCCACTATCCTCTCCCCAAAGAAGTATCAATGTGGGCACAAAATGAATAAAGGAAAGAACTGCCAGTAGATCTTAATTTTTTTAAATGTTTTGCAAGTAGATATTAAAAATTTTTATACATACTTTTATTGTTTTGGTTTGAAGTCTCAATCCATTCAGGGTGTTGATAGCTTTTTCTGCATCCTTAGGGTCAATGTAGTTCACAAAGCCATATCCCAAGCTCTGCCCTAATGAAAAGGAAGGGGAAAGGCACACATCAGTTCTGCACCACTGATGACAGAGATCCATTTTCATTTTAGCATGTGGTCTTATCATTAACACCAGCGTATTTTCTCAATAGTAAAAGAAGTCCACATTAATTCTTCTAGAAATATGTATGTGATCTTTTTTATCTCCTGTCTACATTTGCAAGTTTAAACACCAGTTAAACCCAGCAAGCTGTGCCATTTAAAAAAACACATATCCCCAAGGAGTTCCAGCACACAGGTCCTGCCTGAGCCAGCGCGCCCCACAGTAAGGCAACAGTCAGCTCTGGAAACCGTGGGTGCAAGTCTACACCGAGCTGCTGAGTGGGCTTCATGGGCACGACTTTTTCAGCTTCAGTTCCCTTACCCATAAAATGGGAAGGCGGTAAGCATCAACCAAGAATCTGTCAGTGTTCTCTACACTGAACCCTGACAAATTTATAGCCTTTATCAGGACAATTATTTCAGAGTCTAAAATGGTGAAGAATAGTGTGTATGTGTGTGTATTAATATGTATGTGTTTGTGTTTGTATGTGTATATACGGGCAAAGGTAGGCTTATACTTGTAATACTGTACGAATAAATAATATGATGATTAATAAATACAAGAATAAACTGTTTTGTGTACTCACAACTGTAAACCTACTTTTGCCCACCTCTGTATGGACATTTATTTTAGAGGAAAGTGTCTTCAAATAAACTGAATCCAATTTTTTAAAAGGGGGTTGATAACCTAGATGAGGAATACAGGAAAATAAGAACACAAAAGTTTACACTAAGGCTTCCCAAGCTCATGAGAACACGTGGGAATGGCAAAAAAAAAAAAAAAAAAAAAAAAAGAGCATAAACAAAAATAACAAAACAGGACATTTCTGGAGTGGCGGCTGCTTCAAAATAAGTCTTTTGATGTTGCTTTTCCCTATGGTATGAGCCCTCTCACCCCTGGCTCAATGATGTCCCAACTCTAAAATAAAATAAAATAAAATAAAATAAAATAAAATAAAAGGAAATAAACAAAGGATCAGAAACAATGAAATGCACACACAATTAAAGCCAACCATAAAAGCCTGAATTTTTCAACTAAGGGAGAGTTTCTCAGTTTGAAAATGTTAGAAACACTATTGAGATGGTAACAAAAATGGACATAGAAAAGGTCAGTCTACTTAACATCAAACCAGACTTTAATGGAGGGTTTCCTGGAAGATGCCCAATAAAGGTCCAAATGCTTTTAATTAAACACCATCTCTGTATCAATCACACAACAAAAGGATTTTTTTTTCTTTTAAGGTATCTTAGGTCCAAGCAGTTATGAATACACGTATTTAGGATAGCCATTCTGGTTACCCTATGTGGTTCCTTATAACTATACCAAAAAGAGAGGGACGGGGGTTGGGGGGGAGAGAGGAAGGGTAGAGAGAGGAGGGGAAGGGGGGGTCAGCTAAATACAGTACTAATAATCATGAAAACTTGTGATCATATTCTGGAGATCACTATCATTACTAGGGCTAATCACTACTAACTTTTTCATTTTTTTTAAAGGAGGGGGGAGCTATAATTAACTCAATTCATTATTTTTTGTCACACTAATCATATTTTGTTTTACTCATGGTTCTATTCTTTTAAAAGTTGTAGGGGAAACCACTATATTTTTAAGCATTCAGCTTTTTACTAATTCAACAAACATTTATCGTAAGTCTATTGCATGCACAGTGAGTGCCTCCTTATGAAATGTGATTCAGTTTTATTGTTGCTGAGCAGGATTCAAATTGGCTGAACATATTAAAAATACCTGCCCAAGGAAGCAGTTTATGATAAGAATATGGGCTTTGAGGAGGACACACAGGAGTGCCAATCCTCGCTGTGCCATTTACAAGCTGTGTGACTCTGAAGAAGCTACTTAACCTCTCTGAGTTGTAACTTCCTTATTCCTGAAATGAGAGTAATCCCTATCCAGGGAGGTTGCTGCAACAACGATGAGCATATTCGCTATAGATAGAAGTAGATCAGTCTGGCCAAAAGATAAAGTAAGAAAAAGTTACGTGTTTCTACTATTTATTAAGAAGTTTAATACAGTCATTTAAAATTAATCAGGAAAATGTTACAAATACAATGGGAAAAGGAAAGGCAAGCCGAACATTGTGTAGTTTTGTCACACTGCTATTCTATGACAAAAATATATCAAATTATCAATAGTACCAGCATTAAGGGTCCATTTCTCCCACCTACTACATTCCCTCACACCCGCATTTCATCAGCTTCCAATCACAGTGCTTTCTCAACCTTGACTGCACAATGAAATCATCTACAAAGTTTAAAATCAAAAACAAAAACAAAAATAAAACCCTGATGGGTAAGACCCAGTCCCACAGAGTTTTATTTTATTGGTCTATTTTGACTACCAGTCAAAGCACTGGTACTAGGTTTTTAAAATCCTGGTGACTCTTAACATGCAGCCAATGATGAGAATCATAGTTTTAATGGTGAGAGAGAACCCAGGACTACAAATGAGTTTTCTAGGAACCCTGAGAAGGGTCAAGCGCTGACGGTCTGGACATGGGAAGTGACTCTGCAGGGAAGAGGGCCTTTTACAGATGTGTTTTTAAGATATAAGTGGATGTCTTTCTTCTAAAATCATCAAGTTATTCATCACTTCAGAGAAACAGGTTCTTGGCTGGTTGTGGTCATTCCCGCGCACAGCAGTGCCTGCTGGAGCTGGGTCACTGGGTAAAGCGAAAAGCCTGTCCTGCCAGTCCCTGCTTAGCTGTCTCCCAGGCTGGCCTCTGAGCTCTCATGCCCAGCACACTGTGGGCACTCAAAAGCTTGTTAAATGAATAAATGAGAAGCATAAAGGTGTTGTATATTTAACCAAAGGTATTACCAACATCACCGTCACATGGCCCATCCACTTAATGGACCTTTGACCTGACCCCCTCAAGCAAGCATGGCTAAATATAATAACGATGAGTCTGCCAAGTTTCCATTATTATCAGCCTAAGCAAAGTAATATGAAAGGGTATATCTGCTGCTAAAAGTCTGCATTCTTAAATATACTCTCATATGCATTAGATAGAACATTGGCACTGGAGCACAAAGGCGTTAAGAACCTCACAGACTGCCGTTTTAAAGTGAATTAGTCAAGTAAGCCAATATTTACTGGATCCTTAAAACAAAAATATCACAGATGATATACCAAGATAGACAAGACTCTCCCCATTCTCCCTTTTCAGCTGTGTAATATTTTACTGTTCAAATTTAGTCTCGTGTTAATCATGTTTCATAACTCATATTCTTCTCCTGAGAGATTGAAATGGTGTCTGAAGGCAGGCAAGGTCAATCAGCTTTTCCAAACTAAAAATGCACGTAGCAAGCAGTGGTTGAATCCATGACCCTCAAATGCTATACTGTTCTCTATTCAAGTCAAACTAGTTTATATCTGAACCCAGAACATCTTCAATATGCCTGAAGTATAATGTAACAGGCCAGAATTTTCTAACAGGGTTCTATCATAAAAAAAAATAATAATTTTTTTTTGGCCCTGGCTGGTGTGGCTCAGTGGACTGAATGCCAGCCTGAGAATCAAAGGGTCACCGGTTTGATGCCCAGTCAAGGCCAACATGCCTGGGTTGCGGGCCAGGTCCCCAGAAGCAACCACACACTGATGTTTCTCTCCTTCTCTTTCTCCCTCCTTTCCCCTCTCTCTAAATAAATATGTAAAATATTTAAAAAAATAAACAAATTCGAAAAACTTAAATTTAAACAGTTGCCCACTGTTTCAAATTCCTATATTTCTTACGTAAATATTGGTTTCATTATATATGAATTTCTATGCTGTTACTAACTTCTATGACAAAGTAAACTGCATCTTATATAGCACCTATTCCAGGTTATTATAAGTGAGTGCAGATTTTTAAAAAATAAAACATCAAACATCAATAAAAAATAAGTGGCCAGGATCTACTTTTTCTCACTCATGTTCATCAGCTAGTAAACAGCCATAACCCACCAAGGAAGGCTTGTTAAACAAGCCTCGTTTATCCATATCATCCAAAATCTACTTTTCAAATCATTCTGAATTTAGAATGTGCATATTGACAATCCCAAAACCAAGAATCACATCTTTAAAAAATTTATAAATCTCTACATTTAAGTCCAAATATAACCATTATGGAAATCAACACAAAAAAAGAAAATTCTGAACAAAATGACAAAGCCAAGGCTTTCTTGCTTTAGAACCCCCAAAAAAAAGTCTTCTGGTAACTGAACATCAAGAATAGGGTCAACACTACTTGTCCTCACAAACTACCTATAGTTATAGGCTCTTAGGGATTTTGGAGCATTAAATGAAACTTCGGTCTTAACAGCCATGGCAGGGATTCCTAACTTCACTATAGAGCACGCTATGTCAACAGTCATACAGCCTACGATCTTCACGCAGGTACTGAAAACCCCAGGTTGGTAAACTGCACTTCGGCACATGTATTTTGTATACCGTGTGTGAATGCCTTTTGTTTTGCATCCTCTTTTTTAATCTTAACACATTTGCAACCGAAAAGGGTCCCTTCTTCCCAAGAGACAGAAAAATCACTTATAAACTGCTCTTGGCATAAACTGAAAACAGTTACAGACAGGCTGCTTCCACGGTCAAGCGATCTAGAGCACAGAGCTGAGACACTCCATGGGCCTCTGAATGGGACTGAGGTCCATGGGGGTCAGAGGAGGAAGGGAAACACAAGAAGAGAGTCCATATAGTGACAAAGTGCTAGTGGCAAACACAGTAAACTTCAATTTATCCCAAATTGTGCATAATTCAAACCAGCAGCAGTCCCTTGCCAACTGCATTGCTTTTAATAGCATACTTTAATTAAAATTTTAATTGCATATTTTAATTAAAAATACACAATCTTCTGGGCCCATTTAATTCAAAGGTCACTTTATTTAGTCTTTTCTATTTCAAATTACTACCAATGTACAGAATATCAAAT